CTTGTGCCTCACACCTCAGCAGTGTTCAACACCCGCTGATGATGAGTTTGATTTCTGTCCTTTCTCTGCTCTGTAAGGTTGATCTTTGAAGGTGAATTTTGAAATTCCCCATAAGATGTTTTAAAGATTTACTGTTGCCATCCGTCTATCTGGAATACACAGAGTGGACGTGAAGACCTTTATGTATGCATGGCCAGCTGTTGTTTGTCGGCAAAACCATGCTGCTCTGTCATTTTTTTTCACAAAGTAGCATATGGTTGGATGACTTTCTATAGGACACTGTATACTCATTCAAAGTTATGTGGTTTTATGAGGCAAAGGAGTTGTTTTTTCTGATTAGTTATTTTTAAAAACCTTATCAGTGTTCCATATTACAGGAAACACTCTGAGTCTGTCAGTCACTGAAACTGTAATAATAAAGTCCATCAAAGACAGACAGCTCTTGTCTTTGGACAATTTGCCCCCCATCAGCCATGACAGGCTCTCTGGTGTACTGTGCAACATTCTCCTCCCTTTGACGAACACATCATTGTTCCCAGATGAGCAGTCTCCCACTAAACACCTCATAGGCCACGAATGACTCCAATCACCAAGCTAATGACTTCATCTCATCTTCCCAGCCATTTGTGTCAGGAAAACTTTTAGCTGAGCTGATTAATTTGTTTCCACTTAAGATAACTTAATTACTTAAGATAACTTGACAAGGTGGAGCTGTGTTTGGTTGCAGAGACTTTTCAACTTGCAAGCTTACACGTCAAGGTCAAGTTACTGTAGCTTTGCCTGGCTAACAATTGCTGCAGTGTGTGTCCCACTCTGTTAAATTAAAACATGATATATGCTGTGTCCACAAAATAAGCGGAAGACAGTTTCAAACCAGGAAATGCTTCAAATGCAAGGAAGAGACTACATAATGGGTTACCTTTGTGTGGTAGTGACTGACTTTCTGTAGCTAAACAATGCATTTTGCATACCTTTTTTAGCTAAATAAAGATAGATTTCAATAAAAAAGATTCTATATAAAGGATCAACTTTTTTAATCTTAGCACCAGGCTGTAAAGCAGTGTTTTACTGCCCTCTCTGGTTGAAACTTTCAACTCTCTTGGGTATGGAGTGTCTTCTGTTGCAGCTATAGCCACAGCCACTAGTGATGTTAGTGTGTACTGACACATCCTGGGGTACACTTTTACAAGGTGAAAAGTGAAAACCACTGGGTCAGCAAGGGCAACAGCTGTTCTTTAAAAGCAAGATTAATACATGTGCGTCAGTCATTTTAGATCAGAAAATAAGTAAAACAATTATAATAATCTGACAAAGCATTGGTGCCAACTTTAAATACTTGACGGTTTTTGATAATGACCAAACAATACACTTAGTACTGGTTAGTACTCAAAAGGTATTGAGGTTCAATATTAATCCCCACAGTGAAAATGTGCAGTGAAATTGTTGAGGTCATGCTGATGATCAACTTTTGTCAAGTATTATTTTTTTGGCCTTTATGCCTTTATTTGACAGAGATAGCTGGAGAGAGAGCAGGAAAGGGGCAAGAGAGAGAGAGGGGAGCAAAGGGCCGCAGGTTGGACTTAAAAAGAACCCGGGCCGCTGCGTATATAGGTCACCAGCTCTACCGTCTGAGATAACCAGGCGCCCGATTACAGTACTAGCTATAAAAGCTTTGGAGTATGTTCTTTGTAAAACTGAATTCATTAAATGTATGTTGTTTTTTTAAGTTGTCTTGTGTGGAACATCAGAAATAATTTTTCTAAGTCTGGATCTGAGATTTTTTTTTAAATCAACAATGTTCCCATTTTCTGAATCGTCGCCTTGTTTTCTTTCTAAAGAACCATGATCTGCTTTATGTATGATGATAGTCAGTATGCCTCAGAGCAATATCTCACATCTATGTGTTAAAGCAATATGGTGTTTTGATGTCAAATCACAACTGGTGTACAAAAGAATCTCTGTGCTATCATGTTTAAGTTACAGAAAAGAAATAAGGAAAGAAACTTCAAAGATCCAAGTCACGTCCTTGTCCATAGGAAAATGACAGATTTGCTTAAATTTCACCTCTGGAGGGGTGAAGGTTAGCGAGAGAAGGCTGAATCAACATTTGGCGTTTCTTTCTGACCCTTCTCTTTTTTATCCACTCTCCTCCATGTCCTGAAAGACAGTATATTTATGAATTATTTATCTATGTTTGAAAATATTAAATGTGTGATGTCCTTGTCCTGTGTCTTATCTCCAAGGGCATCATAAGAAGCTGTAAAGAAAGAAAAAAAATCACAGACACGATGGAAGGCGCAGTCGTAAAATAGCCTCTGACAGCATTTAAATCTTGGTACATACCTCAATGTGTTAAATTACTCACTTTTGCCAAACAAGCCTCTCCATCTCTTTCATTTCCTCTTAACAGTGAACAGCAGAGCTTCCTATAGAGTTCCTACCCGTTTAGGCTTGTGAACCTGTACATATAGGCAACTATTACTACTGTATACAGGCGTATGTATGTGTGTAGAGTGTACAACTGCATTCGTCTTTTGTTCAAATGCATAAAAACAACTTATGTTAATGTGTTCCTGACAAGGGCTAGTGTTCATGTGAATTACAGCATTGGTTCCTTCTATTTATGACCATGATGGTCCCTCAGTCATAACCAAGTAGTTTTTTGCCAAAACCAGATAAATTATTTTTGTAATGGTGCGATCAGAAAATGCTTATATATGTGTTGTTTTGAACGGAAATGGCAATTTTCTTATTCAGACTAAAGGACTTGTGGAATTTATCTGTATTTCACGAGTATTGTGCATTTCAAATGTTTTTCATCCATTTTCATTGTTGATTAATTTGCTGATTATTTCTTTAAAGTCTAATAAGAGTCTAAGGTGACGTCTTCAAATATCTTGTTTTGATTATAACCACAAAGATATTTAGTTTATTATCATCAATGAGCAGCAAATTGGTGGCTCTTTTTTATGGCTGACAGCTACAGTACTTAATTTCATTAATTTTTTGTCAAATCGATCAGTCAGCTAACATTTCAGCTCTAATCCTGCGACCCCCAGGTTGGAGAAACTCTGCAGTAAAAGAAAAGTGGTGTGGCCATTCGTGCTGGGCTTCTCTGGTTTTCCCTTTTATCTGTAGACGTATTCTTTTAGCATTTGCATAACTGATGTCTTTCAGTTGGCAGGGGATCGCAACCAAAAGGACACACGTTGTGAGGCAACAAACTGAACCTTTCACTTTCCCGTTACAGTTTAATGTATGAATACTCAGACAGACAGCATACTCCATATAGCCTGAAATGGATGCACAAGCCAGTGAGATTTGTTTTTATTTTTCATTGAATTAAACCTAGCGCATATGCTTAACAATAATAACAAATGACAACAATAATAAATGTTAGACAACAAAGAAACAGACATTTGTAAAACCTTTATCGTGGGAAAAGGAATTGTCAGTGATAATATTTCTGAGCAAGCACCAAACGAGGACAGTGAGTGTTATGGGAAGAGAAAATAGCACATCACCCCCTGATAGTAAACATACTCCCTTTTATTATTATTATTTTCTCCCTAATGATAGTGCACATTATGAGACTTTTATCCTATCTTCAAGCAGCAGTTCTGTTAGTGGGGACATTGTAGCTGTTCCTCGTCATTTCTTGCCATTTGTTTGCTAAAAGTATTTGTTTGCAAGATGAATTGCTACACTGGCAGGCGAGATGACAGCCTACACGAAGATGATATTGAATTGATTTCTGAAATGTTGCAGAACGGACTAGTTGATGTGTACCACGAGACATGAATAATAAAAATTCTATTAAAAAGCTCTTGAATGGCTGACACTGGAATATTATTTGTGATGATTAATTTTCTTCAGTCATTATAAAGGGGAGTTGGCATCAGATTGCCTCTGACAAAATTGCTTTTCATTCCCTGGTGAATACCCTCAGTATGCTTTTTGAGAGCACAAAACCATATTTCTCAGTGCAATATTATGTCAAGATAGGCCCTGGAAAAGACAACCACAGGCTCTTCTCATGTATCACCTTATTAGTGCCATACAATCTGTGCACTTTTACCTGGTGGGGTTCATATTGGACATATGGACACATTATAATAGGGAATACAAGGATTGTTTAGTCCAGTTTTTCTAAAAAAAAAAATATGATTGACATTATAATTATGAGATTATAAAATAGACACTAAGTGAGTGTCAATGGTGTTTTTCCAGTTAATGAATTTGATTAACTGTATTTTAAAGGCTGCAGGCTGACAGTGTCGCTTTAAAGCTGTCAAGATTTCTGAAGCAAATGACTCTGTACAGCAGCTGTTGTTGTCTAACTCTAATTAATTTGCTGTGTACGTTTGTGTTGAATGAATTCTTTACACTTTTGAAAGCACAACAATTTGCATTTCTAATTATTTTTATTTTCAGCAAAACAGGCTGAATTGACTGCTGCATTTCAGTGTCTGCTGCAAACACAAATATGAACAAAAATCAACAGGTGCATTTAAAGGCCAATTATGAAGCTTTTTAATTACTCTGGATCAACCTTGTTAGCTGTTTCTCTCCTAGAGTGTTACTGAATTTGCCATTAAAATGTTGCATAGCACGACGGTTTTCTGATGGAGAGTTTTTTTAGAGATTCAAGTGTTAAAACCTTATATTATTCACGCTGCTCCCACTGTTTTGAGATGCAGGTATGATGTGTTTATGCTGCTGTGTTGTGTTCATGTGAATTTTCCCCATGTCCTTCCCCCGATTCCAAAGACATGAAAATTACTCTAGGTGGGTTATAGACTGCCCATATCTGTGAAAGCGTCTATCTATCTGTGATATGTCCTGGTATTTTCCTTTCTTTTTTAATATACAGTGGGAGCAAATTATCCCCTTGCAACACCTGAAAAATTAGCAAATGATGAAAGTTTGCTGTGGTTGAAGTTTTCCTTGATTCATCCTCATCTACAAAAATGGATTCCTTTCTTTTTTTGCCTTTCCAGAGCTACTCCAGTCAGGGCAGAGGCAGCAGTGGTGGAGGAGGAGCAGGGGATGAAGACTACGAGATCCCCCCCATCACACCCCCTAACCACGCTGACCCCTCTCTGCTGCACCTCATGGAGCATGAGTCAGGTTACCCCTTCCACTCCCTGCCTCACAATGGCCTGCTCAACACCTACTCCTACCCCGAGCTGCCCGCCCTCATGATGTCCAACATGCTGGGTCAGGACACCCACCTCCTCTCGGGGCCTATGCACTCGGTGAGTACGCTTTTTTTTTGTCTGTCCCTTTTTTAGCTGTGGCCCTTTGTGATCGTGCAAGTCAAGCGCTGTGGTAGGCTATTAGTCTTTGTGGTCAGAGGGCTGGAAGTCAGCGCAAAGAACATTTTCTCTGAAGGTTTCACATGTTCGTGTCATGGAGAGTTCAGTCTTTTCAAAATGTTTCCAACAATTATTGATCTTATAATACTCTGTTGAAACTTGCTATAAATTCATATAAACAGCAAAATGATTAATTCTGCTGTGTGCTCCTCTCAGTAGTCTCATTCATATAATTTGTTTTTATTATAGCTTCTATTAGAGTGATAATTAGCCCGGTTTAGGAGGCCAGGATGAGGCTGAGCTGAGCAAGCCGGGGGGGTCTATACATGCAACCATTTATAAATAGGAGAGAGCTGCTGCCTTTCCTTAACACCAGGACCTTTTGCCAAGCAGGAAAGCTCCTTTAATATTCTATTCAGCTGCACACAACTTTCAAAAATTTTCATTGGGCCTTTCAAAGTTGAGCTAGAAAAGGGAGCAAGAAAAGCTCAAGCGGCTTGCCAAATTTTCCATTCGTTATGTATCTGGGGCAAAAGCAAAAAAAGGAATGGAAGGAGGGATTTGAGGGGGAGTTTTTGAACAGAAAAATCTTGACGGGGGGGGTTTTATTTCCCTTTGGTTCAAGGCTACTTTTTATTTTTTCAAAAAAGGATGCTGAGACCACCGCCCCCCCCCCCCCCCCCCCACACCACACACACACACACACTCCAGTAAAGGGACTTTTTCTTGTGTTAAACATGTTTCAGACTGAACATGTAAACACCCCCGGCGAACACATTCAAATTCTTTAATCATAGGATCGAACCAGATGAATTATAGATGGCCTGTGCAGTGAATAATTCAACGTTATATACTTTCATCTGACATAAATATTACTTTTTTCTCTCTGCCCTCCATCATGAATATTTATGCTTTAATGTGAGCATCCGTGGCATTTATCCTCCGTTAATCAGGTCTTATGTGATTTTCAGAATCAAACTGCATAAGTTGCAGGCTCTATTTTTTTCCATGGGTGGTAGCTAAGGCCTCCATTAAAGCCAGCCTTCGGGATTAGGTCACAATCCATTGGCTACTGTGCTGAATATGCTTGGTGCAGGAGAAAGATGATCTTGAACATTTACAGTCAATCTACTTTTTAGTGTCAATGGCTGGAAACCTATACAGTAATTTGGATGGGTTTAGTTTAGTAGAAGACAACATGTAAACTGTATCTCTGGATGCATGTATGCAGCATTTATGTATAACGTTTATACTTATGTGATGTCCATGTTAGAGTATATGTAACAAAGCAGCCTCTTTTGGCCAATAGTACTCTAGAAGGAAACAGAGAGGGAGTGCCTGCTTCTTACACAGCTTTTGTTTCACCTTTGCAATTATTTATTCTCAAATAGCCCTTCAGGGTAATGTTCCATTTTCTTATTTCACACCCCCTTTTCTCATAAATGAACCGTCATTGCAATAAATCACCGCACAAACAGAGACTTGCACACACTGTGAAAGGTCCAGAGATTTATGTAACACATTCATGTTTCCCACTTCCACATTTTAGTACTACTCTAGCAGAGCCTGGCTAATAATAGCCGCTATTAATATTTCTTGTTGCCTAGCAACCCCAGCAAGTAATAGCTTACTCTGGAAAAATAGATGACCGATAAGGAAGAAGGGGGGGCGGGTTGGTGGGGTTGGAGTGGGGGGATTCAATTCATTTATTATCTCCTGGGACAAGAGGAGCTTATTTCTGAGGCTGCGGAATAGGAAAGTAGGCTGTATATTGAGAAATATTTTAAAGCAATTGAAGATGACGTTATTTTCATTTTGGTTCCATTAGGAATGTTTCATTTGATGCTTCCCCAACAAAGTCAATTAACCTTAATTTCATACTGATAAAGGTATAATAAGGAAGATTGAATTTATGTCTGCTGAATGCTTAAAGAATAATAAGGGTGGATGGAAGTAGGCTGTTAGTGTTACCGGGGTCGGAAATGAGGAGACAAGCCTTTACCTTTGTTGTGTTGTATTAACAAAAGCCTTACAGACAAAAATTGGAGGAGATAGGTGGAAAACCAAAGCACTAATCGTTCAACAGTCTTCTTTCACCGTGGCTGAAGAAGCAAATAAAAAGTCAACAGTGTTACCTTAAGGATACACTTCTCTTCAATAAAAGCTGTCCTTCAGTGCACATATAAACCTCCTACAAGTACAAGCTCAGCTGGAGCAACAGATACGCTTCATCTCAAGGGATGTTGTTGCTGGTTTTTGTACAACATTTAGCCTAAGGCTAAAGCTCTGTAAACTTCTCCCTGCTTTGGGATTCTCTTTTTCAGCACACATCGATCCTACAGCAAACACGGTTAAATCATTACAGGATTGAGAGCAGTGGATTGACCATCATCATCATGCTGCATAGGCACACAATTTTTCATCAGTTCATCCTTGAAGCTTTAAAGACTGTAATTTCTGTTCATTTAGAATTGACTATATAATAATCTTATGATATCATGGCCTGCAGAACAGCATATGTTTCTGCAAGAGCCCTGTTTTTTTCAAGCTAAATTTATTCTCTCTGACAACCTCCTCTTTTCCATCTAATTATGACTCCACAGGCAGCAGAAATATTAACTGGTAAAACAAGAAGATGTGTGGCAGATGGAAAAAACAGGTGTCAAATACATGCATTGAGTCTTAGGCAAATCTCAGAGCTTTAACATTTGATGTACATTGAGGTTTGTTTTTTCAGTTTATTCTCAACTGGCAGATCCAGTGCTTTGTTCAGGTGCAGTCGCATGTTCTTCATAATAGTCTTAACTGCCAGTTTTGAACCATTTCTCACTTGAAATTGCACCATTTACAAGGACTCCAACAAGCAGAAGGATCAACATTGGCTTTATAAAAGACAGAGCTGTCCATCAGAAATGCCCTTACATTCTCTTAACTCCTCCCCACAACGCTGACCTACAGCTTTAAATCGAGACAGAAAGGGCCAAGTCTTGGATGACTAGATACTGTGAAATGTAACATGCCTTCGTGTGAATGCTTGTTGCTAAGGGAGAATCCCTGTCTCACCTTTAGCTGTCAGCGTTTCTGCCACCCCAGTGCTCAGGGAAGAGGTGGCACCCAGGGTCTCATGTTCAACAAGCCCCCTGATCGTTCAGGTCTGGCTGAGGCTACAGTGGGGGGAGATGCAAGCAAGATCTAGTGCTTTGAAAAAAATAAAGGAGGAGGGACACCCACCAGCAGACAGTAATGAGGGGTCGTGGAGGAGTTTGCAGAACGGCCCCAACACGGAGCCTTGGGGGGCGCCAGTGCGTTTAAATATTGAAACAGAGCACCAGCCCCTGTCTCATTACCGGTGTAATGAGGCTGGTTAGGGAGGAGGAAAGCCCCTGCTGCCAAAAAGCAGCTGCCAGTTTTACAAGTTTATGTCACACATTCAGTGAGATGAAGCCTGATGGGAACTTTGTTCAGTTCTGTTAAACATGTGCCATCAGATTAAGATTAATATTTTTGGCAGTATGTGTGACAGGCCAGTTGATTTTTAATGTTCTGCCCGTGTTGAGACAGTGGCACGATATAATTTGGCAGTTGCAGATACTGTTATTTATTTTTAAGGCTGCATTAACATATTTTTGATTGATGATTGTTGTTGAGCATTTTTTGTGCGACCACAGAGCAGAAGAATTCCACAGCATGGCATGACTGCCCTGACATATTATCACTTTATAAAGTTGTTATTGCCTAAATGTTTTCAAACAGTTGCCCACCTACACATCCAGCAATATTGGAGCAAAATATTCATTCTGAGTCATGTTAGTGGCCACCTGATGGAAATATGTATAATGTTCACTCTCGTTTTAGTTCTGGTTTGATTTCAACCAACCCGGTGGTTGAAATACCTGTGCCATGGTTGCTCTGTGTATTACGTCTCTGGCTAGTTGTCAGCTTTGTTTGTATCCTGTTTGGTGCTGAGCACATATGATACATTCAGATTTGTGATAATTCACTGTGAGCAACCCCTTTCACATTACATTCAATGAGTCATTCATTTGTAATATAGAAAATATTGGTTATTGGAGCTTTAACTTTGGAAAACAAAAATGTACCTCACCCCGGCCTCTTTTAAAAAGTATGACACAGAAATACTGAGCAATAGTGCACAGTGTATAGTCACTGATTGTTACAAGGTTATATGAGCTTGACTTAATTTGACTTCATTTAATCGGTGAAAGGAAATGTATTTTGCATCACTTGGCATTTAGGACATACACAGCAGGGGCCAAGGCCATAACTATTTTAATGCAGCAACATGAAAATTATATTGACAGCTGTGGTTATTGACAGGGATAGTTAGATAGAGGCACAATCAACCCATTAAAAACGTCAGAGTAAGCCTATCAACACTGTACACAAATCTGTGTTGTGAAACATCGTATCGTAAGTGATATTCAGACATGCACAGAAAGCAAAAGGGTGAAAATAAAGATAGTGTTCCTAAAATGATCGGCTGTATAAAGCATACACAGTAAAATACACTAAGTGGTGCACACCATGTATGTTGGAAACTAGAAGATCACCTTTTTCATTTTCCAGGGCCTGTCCACTGCCTACTATCTAATGAGAAGAACTGCCTTAAAATAAACTTTATCTAAAAAAAAGAAGATGCAGTTTGACTTGACTTCACATGCTCAGTGTGGGTGGATTACTTGTGTTTTTTAAATTGAAACAGCAATCTTTTTTTTCCAGTGTAGGTTTTAGACATATCTCATATGACCTGCTTGCTCTGCTGCCTTTCACTGGGATAGATATGACATCTTAGTGACGTTCCCAGATAAATCACTTTTTGTAACAGTAGAAATGTTTTCTGTTGTGGCTTTTCATTTAAAAAAAAGACAGATGCCCTTCAGTGCTACACTCCACAACAGGGGTGAACAATGTGTCTTGTA